TAGGCCTCTTGTTTGGCCTTCGCCACCTCTACTTTCATCGTGCGCTGCATCTCCCTGGACTCGTGTCGACTCTCTTCAGTCCTCTCAGTGTCCCACTTCTTCTTAGCTAACCTCTTTCTCTGCATACATTCCTGCACCTCCTCATTCCTAAAGCAAGTCTCCTTATCTACTTTCCTTCCAGATGATACACAAAGGACTTTCCTACCTGTCTCCCTGATCACATTAGCTGTAGTTGTGCATGGGGAGGGGGGACAGGAGCAGAAAGCAAAAGTGTCCGCCTTCGTCGAGAGCCAAGCAAGAATATTTTCAGCTTCCACCATATAGTCCTCTGCTCTGCTTTTGCTCTGTTCATTTTCCTCAACGCAAGAGTCATCCTACACACCACCAACCTCTGCTGTCTGGCTACACTCTCACCGACCACTCCTTTGCAGTCTCTGATTTCCTTCAGATTACACCGTCAACACAAAATGTAGTCGACCTGTGTACTCCTGCCTCCACTCTTATTGGTCACCCTATGTTCCTGCCTCTTCTGAACGAAAGTATTCACAATAGCCATTTCCATCCTCTTCGCAAAGTGAACCACCATCAGTCCTTCTGCGTTCCTCGTCTGGAGTCCAAACCTGCCCATCACCTCCTCATCATCTCTGTTTCCTGCGCCAACATGTCCATCACAACTCTTTCACTTCTTGGAATATTCTATATCAGTTCATCAAGGTCCAACCAAAATGTCACCTTCTCCTCCAACTCGCATCCTACCTGTGGGGCATACCCACGAACAACGTTGAACATCACACCTTTACCTTCTAGCCTCAGACTCATCACTTTATCTGACACTCTCTTTACTTCTCGGACATTTCTCACAAACTCCTCCTTCAAGATAACTCTGACTCCATTTCTCTTCCTTTCTACACCTTGACAGAACCACTTGAACCCTGATCCTAAGCTTCTTGCCATGCTACTTTTCCACCTGGTCTCCTGGACACACAGTATGTGTACCTTCCTCCTTTGCATCATGTCAACCAACTCTCTTCCTTTTCCTGTCATAGTTCCAACATTCAAAATCCCTACTATCAATTATTTTCTCTTGGGGTTCCACTTCTCTCTTTTCCTATGGACACACCTTCCTCCTGTTCTTCTTTGACCAACAGTAGTCCTTTTTCCACCGGCACCCTGTAGGTCAACAGTGCTGATGGCAGTGGTTGTTATGGTTGTTAACCCGGGCCTCAACCGATCCGGTATGATACACATATGTGTGTGTCTGTGTGTGTGTGTGTGTGTGTGTGTGTGTGTGTGTGTGTGTGTGTGTGTGTCGGTCCTGACTGTTTGTTTGTGCGTACGCACCCAACAGCCGTTCAGCGTACACACCTTTTTTGGAGTCTTTGGAGGGTGTGCTAGAGAGTACTCCTGCTGGGGACTCCCTTGTCATGCTGGGGGACTTCAATGCTCACGTGGGCAATGACAGTGAGACCTGGAATGGCGTGATATTAGGGAACGGCCCCCCGCGATCAGAACTCAAGTGGTGTTATTGGAATTCTGTGCTCGTCATGGATTGTCCACAACTAACACCTTTGTGGAAGTGTATGTACATTGACAGTTATAACCCACTTCTCGCGGTTAATTAATTACTTTTGAAATTGAATTACTTTTACTTGAATTACTTTTACTTGAATTCATTTTACTTAAATTTAATTCATTAATTGTTACACCAGCGCTGCAAGGAGAGATACTGCCGCTCGTTCCTACCGACTGCTGTCAGGCTGCTGAATAAAAAATAAACAACGTGAAAACCAGTAACAATTGTAAATAACACAGCCACCTTATACCAGTTGTATATATGCTTTTATCTCTATATATTTTTTTATTGACTATTGATATATCTATATTTGTATTGCACTTATTCTGAAACATTCATTTTTGTGCATGCAAACTCTGTTCTTCTTCTTTCTCCACCCCAATTTTGCTGCTGTAGACTGTAAATTTCCCCAGTGTGGCAGATATAAAGCATATCTTAATGGGGACCGGGCCTATACCGCGATCAGTGAAAACCCACGAAGGAGGGTTTGCTCGGTGTTCGGTTGATTGTGTTTAGTTATCATACATTTGCATATTATTCGAAATAAGTCTATTATGCTTGCAATGAAGAACGCTGATGCCTGCAATAATGAATTATGTCTGCAATGAAGAACACGTGCTTTTAATAAAGACACAATTATGCTTTGAATAAAAATATGTCCACGTTTTCAAAAAATAATTCGAAATTCACTCTGTGATAGTTGAGTGACGCAACCACCTTTCCGAGAAAGTGGTTGGAAAAGGATAAGTATTTAGACAAAACCAGAGCAAGGTCGGACGTTGCCAATGCCAGCTGCAACTTGGTGTTTTTGTCATGATTGCACACATGTATGTAATTTTCACTCACATACACACCCATAGTCTAACAAGTTCAGTGTGTCTTCACCAGCCCTCACCCTTTAGGTTGGATACACCCCTGTATTAGATTCGCATTGAGAAGTAAATTAGAGGGCGAACCGGGAGATCCTTGGGGGGACGTACAGAGAACTGAAACCTCGCGGTTCTCCTCGTTTCCCCCTTTGAGTGATTGGAACCAGAATCCAGTGTGTCCTCTCCTCATTGGGTCTTTATTATGAATGTCAAATTCAGTGTTTTTCAAACCCTGTGCTGTGGCAATTGTCAGGTGTGCCGTGGGAAATTATCCAATATGTATGCCTATGCGGTCGATCGCCTGGAAGAGTAACCATGTTGCACTCTTCCATACCGGTAGGGAGCAGCAGTATCTAGGAAATTGTCTTTCGCTTGGAGACAAGCGAAATTTCCAATGCGAGGCAATACAATGAAAGGTATCTTTCATTTAGATCGACGTTTACCGGAGATGCAACAGCACCAATGTTCTCTCTTAGCGCACTGGTCGCACACTCGCTCTCGCTCTCTTTCACTCTCTGTCTCTCACTCTCACCCATTTTTCGCATTCTCTCACTCTTTCTCTGCCCGCCGTGCCTGAACCAAATAAAAGAGACAGTATGCCAGAGAATCAACAGCATGATGTGACACACACA